TCTAAAACAACTTAAATGTAAATAAAATTTTGATTATATAAAAGATTAAATTAAAATAAACCTAAAATTAAAAAATAATTAAGACCTGAGATATATAGGTATTGGAAAAATTCCAATCTATTCATTGGGAATAAGTCATAGCAATAGAAACCGATTTCTGGTCCGCACAACACCTCTACAAATGACATTAATTTTAGCCGATTTTTAATTGAAATTATTGGAGATTTAGATAAATATGTTATCAAATGTGGTAACGGTTTGTGAGCGGACTTTGATATCCAAGTACTCATTATATTAAAGTAAAAAATTAATGAAAAGCATAGTATAAAAAGGGTTAAAATCCAAACCCTCGCTAATAAACTAGTGTCAGATTTATGTAAAATATACATAAATAACTGAATAGCAAATGTCCCGATATAATAGATAATAAACGTAACGCAACGGAAATATACATTACAACCCCTAACCTCTTGTTCCCAAAAGTTATGTTCAATAATTAATTTCATTAAAAAATTACCATTATTATATTTCATAGCGATAATCATATAATCATTCAATTGTTGAAATTTAGACCTAAATATATAGGCTGTAAAAAGCCATAGAATGAAACCCATCCAGGTGATCGAGAATATAAACCAAAATGTTGGATATAATATGACATTATATATAATTGCAATTATTAAACTACTAAATAATTCATCGTGATGATATATATACGACATATAAGTGTGTAGTGAACAGTTTATTATTGTTAAAAATATAATCGCCTGATAAGCCATGTAGTCAGAAAGGAAGTCGATAGTTTTGCAAAACCGATGGGCGCGTTTAAATAACAATTTATATTTAAATTGATTATATTTAACCTTGTTAACAAAAGCAATAAGATATAATTTGTGCATATATTCATGATATAATACCACCAATGAATTGCACAAATGTGCTACATTGCTGATTGTGAATGCGAGGGATACCAGTTGTTTATTACCAAAATAAGGGCTCACATCGTATAACAATAGCAATACATTCTCGTTGTCTACAAATGTTATTAAAGCGAACCTAAGGATTGTCACCAAAAGACATATCCTTACGATTACGGCCACAATTAGTCGCCATTTCTTCTGATCTCTTCTCATATACTGATCCGTGTCTTCAAAACTAGCAATGAATGCATTTTTTGCTAATTTCTCTATCTTTTCTATCGACGCGTAAAACGGATTCAATGTTTTATTTCTGTTCAGTATAGCTATGGGCAGCACTTTTCGGGCGGGTTTTCTATTCATAATCATATTATATTAAATTAAATCAAATATTTTTGAATAATTAAACACTAAATGTATTTATTATATACAGTACGCTGTATTCGTTTATTTTTGTTATGATGTTTTTTTTTGTTTTTGCAAAAAGTAATTAAACTATTTTTAAATAATATATTAGCAAATGTACAATAATTGAGGTCATGTGAATTTACATAAAATTTAACTATAATACACTGTATGTAGACTTATAGTATATATTGATTGATTTTATACATTAATAGTATGAAATGTATATTGTACAAAATTATTTTGCTTTAGCAAATGCTAGTTTATATAAAGACCTATGAAAAATTCAGATAATTATTCATAAATTGTAGTCATAATATTTTAATTATTGAATATCGTGTTTTAACAAGGTCATAATGCTTCTACTAAAATTTAGTAACTAAATATTAATTATAGCTTGGATTCATTGCCGTTTGATTAAAATATATTTACCGTAATAATGTCATATAGAGTCTAGACATGTATAATGTGTTTACCCGACAATGAAACTATTGGCTTTATAATTAAATCAATATTGAGATTCCTTATACAGTATATGCCTTAAATATTGGGGCTCAAAATACAACCCATATGATATTTATTGACAAGATCAATATACTAGAATATTGATTAAGTTTTTTGCCAAATAATCTTACATCCAATTGTGCATGTTTATGCTTTACGAGTTAAAGGTTAGGTCAAAGGTCATAATATTATTGATCATAATGAATATCTCAATGTTTCTATTCAATGTATTTAATTTTTAAGTTGATAATAATTTTTATTTATAAATATTTTAATTATATTTTGATATTTTATTCAATTACAAGCACTATACAAATAAGGACAATTAATTTTAAATATTAACTAATTTATATTATATTATGTTAAAATAAACTTAGAATTAAGAAATAATTAGCGCCAGCGATGTATATGTATTGATACAACTCATAGCTATTCATTGGGAATAAGTCATAGCAATAGTAACCAATTTCGGGTCCGCACAACACCTCTACAAATGACATCAATTTTAGCCGATTTTTAATTGAAATTATTGGAGATTTAGATAAATATGTTATCAATTGTGGAAACGGTTTGTGAGCGGACTTTGATATCCAAGTACTCATTACATTCATTGAGAAAACAATTGAAAAGCATAGTATAAAAAGCGTTAAAATCCAAACCCTCATCATTAAACTGGTGTCTGATTTGTGTACCAAATATATCATTAATTGAATACCAATTGTCGCAATATAATAGATATTAAAAATCATGCACCGGAAAAATACATTACAATCTCTGACCTGTTTTTCCCAATAATTGTGTTCAATAATTAATTTCATTAATAAATTCTGATAATTATTAAGTTTCATAGCAATAGTTATAGAATAATTCAATTGTTGAAATTTTGATCTAAATATATAGGTTGTAATTAACCATAGCATAAAACCTATCCAGATCATTGAGAACATCATGATTCCTGTTGGATATACTATAACGTTGTACAAAATCATCATTGTTAAACTACTCTTTAATTTATGATAATATATTATAAGCAATATATAACCGTGAATTAGCCATGTTATTGTTGCCAATAAAATTGCTTGGTAAGAAACATAATCAGCAAGATAATTAAGAACTTTACAAAATTGGCGTAGATTTGTAGATGGTAATTTATATTTGAATTGATTGTACTTAAGATTATACATAAATCTCATCAAATATAGTTTGTTTGTGTATTCGTGATATAAAATCACTATTGAATTGCATAAAAGGGCCACATCTACAGTGACCAGCGATGAGTATATCAGTTGTCTATCGCCCAGATATGGACTAAAGTCATACAATAACAATAATATGTTCTCATTGTCTACGAGTGCTGTCAAACCTATCCTAATAGTTGTCACCAAAATACCAATCCTTAAGATAATAGCCACAAATAATCGCCATTTCTTCTGATCTCTTTTCATATACTGATCCGTGTCTTCAAATGTGTTAATAAATGTTTGTTTTATTATTGTTTCCATCTTTTCGATTAAGTGGTAAAAAGGATTTAATGTTTTCTTATTATTTATTACTTTTATTGGCGATACTTTATTGTCACGAATTTTATACATTATTTCCATTCAATATTATAGTAATGTAATAAATAATATTACAATAAATTTAATTTAATTATATTATTAAATCCAATTAAATATAAGAATTACAGCAATTAAAAACTAATTATTTTATAAAATATATGTAGAAATTTTAATTATATGGCAGTAAGATCTTTAAGTTATTTATATATATTTAAAACTAAATATAATTGAGAACTTATGCATAATAAGAGATTTAACTTTGATAAATGTAGACTAATTTATTGATTGATGTAGCTTCAATAACAATATTTCGTGATTAAATATGCAATAATAATTTATTTTTATGACTTTCAAAAAGTTTTCATGACCAATTATATAACTTTTGATTTACGGAAAAGTACCGTATTGCAATGCTATGATCTTTAAATATAAGATTTTGCAAATTTAATTTAATAAAAACATGCAATTTATCAATTATCGAATTAAAACAATTGATTTTTATATACTTCATTTTTGTATTTTGTTATTCAAAATCTTATATTCTCATTAATCATTAATCAAAACGTGTGTACATATTATTGACGAATTCATGTTTGTATTTGAAATTAGTATTTGAATTCAAATACAATCAATATAAAAAAATTGGCAATAAATTATTTTATTATATTTTTGTCAAATATTGTGATATAATTAAACTTACCATGATAATGATTATTTATTTTAAATTCAATTTTTAATTAAATAAATGTACATAAAATAAACAAATATGATGCGAACTAAACCAGATGCTTAATTGTATTAATATGAAATCACTGTCTTATTTATCTATTAACCTAATTAGCTATTAATTATTTATTGTACCTGGGTAAATAATTGAACACACATAAAATTGTAAAAATTAAGATAATGCACTTACCATGCATTTACCAATTGCACTATTATTGCAATAGCATTCTAAGAATTTATTACACTTTACTTTAGTAATATTATATTTAATTTTTAACTAAATTATCATGATTTGGTAAATAAATTTTTCCATGTTATGAATTTTATTTATAAAACGAGTATGGTGTATTAATGGGCCATTAATAATGGCCTTGAGGTGAACTTAATAGCAATATTTTTATATAAAGGTGACATTTAGTGCAACATTTATCTCATAACTTATAAGAAACTAGCCAGAATGCTTGCGTACAGCCAGTGAACAAACTGCAGTACCTTTTTGTTTTATTTTATCTACCTCTATAGTTTTCACTACCATTCCACCCCATTATTTATATATTATAGATTAGCTAAAATTAAAAGGAAAGGGCAGTCGAGATCCTTTAATTAGATTCTGAATTGTAGTTAAAAATACATGACAATTGAATAAAAGTGAAAATATTTTAATATTATTTAGGTATTATGTCCATATAATAAATGTGTACATGATTAACCCAAGATTGTTTGAGCTATGGTATGGCTTTGTATCATTTAATTAATTACAAATACATAATGTTATATTGATCGTACAGTACTTAAGTTAAAACATTATTTAAGTTCTTAATTTAATAAGGGTTATTATTGTTGGCATTAAACTTCCATGGTTGGTATCTATATAGCAAAGCAATCATTTGTTTAGTTGTATAATATATTTAGTGCATAACAGTTAACGGCGCGAATACACCGCCGATAACTACACGATTTGCCCAACCGGGCGATTCCCAACCCACGCCCGTAACCGTGTTTATGTGGTCGGGAAACGGCACTCGAGTCGGCGTTTCCCTCAACCATTTGGCCGTCCGATCAAACAATGATTGCCGTAACGTTGGGTTCGCAGACGCGGCCGCCGTTAACATAATCCAATCAATCAGTGTCTCCTGTCTATCACTCCCTAATGGCAAGCCGTAGACATTCATCACCTGTTGGTACCACTCGTCCTGTTGTGCGTAGATCTGTATACATGTGACAAACATGTTAAGCAAGAAGTTAATGCGTGATTTATTCAATTAACAAACCGATTCGGGTACTAATTTGGTGTCCAACAGGACATCAGTAAACAAGTTATAGATCATAAACCACTTGTTGGGTGTATTATAACTCATTTTTAAGTATTTATTGGACGGATCTTTACTTAAACCAATCCATTCTGTGATATAGTTCTCTGCGATTTGTCTGTACTGTCGTTTGTCCGCCTCATTGTCGGTCACTTCAGCCAACTGTGCCATCGCTCCGATGCCTACAATAGCTTTGACCGAAAGGTTTGTTGAATTTGTAATTTTATCCAAATAGGCGTCGGATGTTAAAGCGTCGCCTAAATTCATATTATATTAGTAATTTTAAATTATCAATAATAAGTAATTATTTAAAGTAAATATATAAATAACTATACCTGTGATCAACCCGTGATCGACCAAATACTGTGTCCATTGTTTTGCAATTTTGTAGTGCTTTTTGGCAAACTCTGTATCATTGGTTGCCCTGACATAGGCTGACATCATGATCAACATATTGGCGCTCTCCTCCACCTCCATATCATAATCGTGTCCCACCTGTCCATTGCATTTGGGATATTTTCCCAAATCATGCAAACTATACTTATTCGGGAATAAATCTTTTTCCTGATAGTCGAGCAGTGGTTCCAAAAGGTATCGCAAAAGCGTTGGATTCAAATATAATTGCACTGCAAAGTGGGGGTAAATCGCGTCTACAGTTTGACACACACCATCCATCAACATCATCCACGGCCTGTCAACTGTGCCAACCATTTCCACCCCTCCATACGCCTAGGCGATATGTAAAGCGATATTATTAAATAAAAAGTAATAAGTTATTATCATTGTTTTACTAGTTTTTAACTCTCACCTTTTAATAATTCGAACAATAATTTAAATTATTTAAAGTCTCTTATAATACATACCTGTCTGAGCGCTGCCGACACCACTTTAACATAACTCTCGCCGCCGACCGCCTGAGCGTCGGTCACAATACGTTTGTCCAGAGCTGTGGCTCTTCGGAGGGCGTCCTTTCTGTCCTCATAGAAGAAGTCAATCATCTGTTTGTCGTCTCCATTGAAATAACTTTCCCATAATTGGTTCAGATGTGAGTCCGTGTACTCAATGGCCGGTCGTCTGACG